AAAACTGTCTACAAATTAGATAAGGCTTTAACAAAAACTGTCTACAAATTAATAAGGCTTTAACAAAAACAGTCTACCAATTAAATAAGGCTTTAACAAAAACTGTCTACAAATTAGATAAGGCTTAAACCAAAACTGTCTACAAATTAGATAAGGCTTAAACCAAAACTGTCTACAAATTAGATAAGGCTTTAACAAAAACTGTCTACAAATTGATAAGGTTTTAACAAAAACTGTCTACAAATTGATAAGGTTTTAACAAAAACTGTCTACAAATTAAATAAGGCTTAAACCAAAACTGTCTACAAATTAGATAAGGCTTAAACCAAAACTGTCTACAAATTAGATAAGGCTTTAACAAAAACTGTCTACAAATCAGATAAGGCTTAAACAAAAACTGTCTTCAAATTAGATAAGGCTTTAACAAAAACTGTCTACAAATCAGATAAGGCTTAAACAAAAACTGTCTTCAAATTAGATAAGGCTTTAACAAAAACTGTCTACAAATTAGATAAGACTTAAACAAAAACTGTCTAAAACATTGACTTGAACAAAAAACATAAACATTTCATAAATTGTATAAGATTTACAAGTATGATATAACGAGAAGAAATTAGAACAAACAAAATTATAGAAACTAATCCTAATAGATGTGTTTCTTAATTAGGATTACTTTGAAAGTATATATGATTTGTATTAAAACATGATAATGACATCAAATGAAAGATAATTGAATGATTATATATAAACAAAATTGAAAGTAAAGACGAATTACACGTCAAATGACAAAGCCCTCTACGCATTCCGTATATCTTCATAAGATGACGACCACTCCAATAACATGCAATATATTCTTTATATATACATAGATATCGAAAAAAATTATACGAAATATTTTTACTCTGCCATGATGTATCATACACAAAACTTTCACCAACTAAAAAATAGAAAAAAACCTTTTTCTTTTTATTCATCCAATCGAGAAAGCGTAGATAGCGGCAAGTGGAGAACATGCGTTCGTGCATGGTAATGTCACTTTTGGTAATATAGTCTAGCAAGTAAAGGTTTAGGTCGCTGTATGTCTTTTAGATGAGCCAAGTAGACAGCAAGTGTCTGATGTTTTGATATTATTTCGTTCCCTTCTATTTGTGTGTCTACTTAGAGAATAAAAAGCGTTCTTATTAGTTTTCCAGCATGAAGGATGTTCCTAATTATACTTAGCTGTAAGCTCCTGGAATTACAAGATAGCAGTTTCATCCCTGGTACGGCATGTATCCCACCGAGATATAATTATGATAATTGTCGAAAAATATAAAATTGCCCCATATTTTCGTATTTAAATTTAATCTTTTTAATTCATTACGATCAGAAACTCATGTTAACGATGTTTAAAAATTAAATTAGATGTAATAAATAAATTAAAGGGAGTCACCCATGTATTACTTCCACAATAACAAAGATCATATTCAGGGGAGATAATCTGTCCTTCAATGTTTAGAAAAACGTATTTTTAATAAATTAATAAACTATTATGTGAGGTGTAGCAGTAATAGATTACCACATCTACTTTATCATGTGAGGGGTAGCAGTAATAGACTACCACATCTACTTTATCATGTGAGGTGTAGCAGTGATACACTACCACATCTACTTTATCATGTGAGGTGTAGCATGATAGATTACCACATCTACTTTATCATGTGAGGTGTAGCAGTAATAGATTACCACATCTACTTTATCATGTGAGGTGTAGTAGTAATAGATTACCACATCTACTTTATCATGTGAGGTGTAGCAGTAATAGATTACCACATCTACTTTATCATGTGAGGTGTAGCAGTAATAGATTACCACATCTACTTTATCATGTGAGGTGTAGCAGTAATAGATTACCACATCTACTTTATCATGTGAGGTGTAGCAGTAATAGATTACCACATCTACTTTATCATGTGAGGTGTAGCAGTAATAGATTACCACATCTACTTTATCATGTGAGGTGTAGCAGTAATAGATTACCACATCTACTTTATCATGTGAGGTGTAGCAGTAATAGATTACCACATCTACTTTATCATGTGAGGTGTAGCAGTAATAGATTACCACATCTACTTTATCATGTGAGGTGTAGCAGTAATAGATTACCACATCTACTTTATCATGTGAGGTGTAGCAGTAATAGATTACCACATCTACTTTATCATGTGAGGTGTAGCAGTAATAGATTACCACATCTACTTTATCATGTGAGGTGTAGCAGTAATAGATTACCACATCTACTTTATCATGTGAGGTGTAGCAGTAATAGATTACCACATCTACTTTATCATGTGAGGTGTAGCAGTAATAGATTACCACATCTACTTTATCATGTGAGGTGTAGCAGTAATAGATTACCACATCTACTTTATCATGTGAGGTGTAGCAGTAATAGATTACCACATCTACTTTATCATGTGAGGTGTAGCAGTAATAGATTACCACATCTACTTTATCATGTGAGGTGTAGCAGTAATAGATTACCACATCTACTTTATCATGTGAGGTGTAGCAGTAATAGATTACCACATCTACTTTATCATGTGAGGTGTAGCAGTAATAGATTACCACATCTACTTTATCATGTGAGGTGTAGCAGTAATAGATTACCACATCTACTTTATCATGTGAGGTGTAGCAGTAATAGATTACCACATCTACTTTATCATGTGAGGTGTAGCAGTAATAGATTACCACATCTACTTTATCATGTGAGGTGTAGCAGTAATAGATTACCACATCTACTTTATCATGTGAGGTGTAGCAGTAATAGATTACCACATCTACTTTATCATGTGAGGTGTAGCAGTAATAGATTACCACATCTACTTTATCATGTGAGGTGTAGCAGTAATAGATTACCACATCTACTTTATCATGTGAGGTGTAGCAGTAATAGATTACCACATCTACTTTATCATGTGAGGTGTAGCAGTAATAGATTACCACATCTACTTTATCATGTGAGGTGTAGCAGTAATAGATTACCACATCTACTTTATCATGTGAGGTGTAGCAGTAATAGATTACCACATCTACTTTATCATGTGAGGTGTAGCAGTAATAGATTACCACATCTACTTTATCATGTGAGGTGTAGCAGTAATAGATTACCACATCTACTTTATCATGTGAGGTGTAGCAGTAATAGATTACCACATCTACTTTATCATGTGAGGTGTAGCAGTAATAGATTACCACATCTACTTTATCATGTGAGGTGTAGCAGTAATAGATTACCACATCTACTTTATCATGTGAGGTGTAGCAGTAATAGATTACCACATCTACTTTATCATGTGAGGTGTAGCAGTAATAGATTACCACATCTACTTTATCATGTGAGGTGTAGCAGTAATAGATTACCACATCTACTTTATCATGTGAGGTGTAGCAGTAATAGATTACCACATCTACTTTATCATGTGAGGTGTAGCAGTAATAGATTACCACATCTACTTTATCATGTGAGGTGTAGCAGTAATAGATTACCACATCTACTTTATCATGTGAGGTGTAGCAGTAATAGATTACCACATCTACTTTATCATGTGAGGTGTAGCAGTAATAGATTACCACATCTACTTTATCATGTGAGGTGTAGCAGTAATAGATTACCACATCTACTTTATCATGTGAGGTGTAGCAGTAATAGATTACCACATCTACTTTATCATGTGAGGTGTAGCAGTAATAGATTACCACATCTACTTTATCATGTGAGGTGTAGCAGTAATAGATTACCACATCTACTTTATCATGTGAGGTGTAGCAGTAATAGATTACCACATCTACTTTATCATGTGAGGTGTAGCAGTAATAGATTACCACATCTACTTTATCATGTGAGGTGTAGCAGTAATAGATTACCACATCTACTTTATCATGTGAGGTGTAGCAGTAATAGATTACCACATCTACTTTATCATGTGAGGTGTAGCAGTAATAGATTACCACATCTACTTTATCATGTGAGGTGTAGCAGTAATAGATTACCACATCTACTTTATCATGTGAGGTGTAGCAGTAATAGATTACCACATCTACTTTATCATGTGAGGTGTAGCAGTAATAGATTACCACATCTACTTTATCATGTGAGGTGTAGCAGTAATAGATTACCACATCTACTTTATCATGTGAGGTGTAGCAGTAATAGATTACCACATCTACTTTATCATGTGAGGTGTAGCAGTAATAGATTACCACATCTACTTTATCATGTGAGGTGTAGCAGTAATAGATTACCACATCTACTTTATCATGTGAGGTGTAGCAGTAATAGATTACCACATCTACTTTATCATGTGAGGTGTAGCAGTAATAGATTACCACATCTACTTTATCATGTGAGGTGTAGCAGTAATAGATTACCACATCTACTTTATCATGTGAGGTGTAGCAGTAATAGATTACCACATCTACTTTATCATGTGAGGTGTAGCAGTAATAGATTACCACATCTACTTTATCATGTGAGGTGTAGCAGTAATAGATTACCACATCTACTTTATCATGTGAGGTGTAGCAGTAATAGATTACCACATCTACTTTATCATGTGAGGTGTAGCAGTAATAGATTACCACATCTACTTTATCATGTGAGGTGTAGCAGTAATAGATTACCACATCTACTTTATCATGTGAGGTGTAGCAGTAATAGATTACCACATCTACTTTATCATGTGAGGTGTAGCAGTAATAGATTACCACATCTACTTTATCATGTGAGGTGTAGCAGTAATAGATTACCACATCTACTTTATCATGTGAGGTGTAGCAGTAATAGATTACCACATCTACTTTATCATGTGAGGTGTAGCAGTAATAGATTACCACATCTACTTTATCATGTGAGGTGTAGCAGTAATAGATTACCACATCTACTTTATCATGTGAGGTGTAGCAGTAATAGATTACCACATCTACTTTATCATGTGAGGTGTAGCAGTAATAGATTACCACATCTACTTTATCATGTGAGGTGTAGCAGTAATAGATTACCACATCTACTTTATCATGTGAGGTGTAGCAGTAATAGATTACCACATCTACTTTATCATGTGAGGTGTAGCAGTAATAGATTACCACATCTACTTTATCATGTGAGGTGTAGCAGTAATAGATTACCACATCTACTTTATCATGTGAGGTGTAGCAGTAATAGATTACCACATCTACTTTATCATGTGAGGTGTAGCAGTAATAGATTACCACATCTACTTTATCATGTGAGGTGTAGCAGTAATAGATTACCACATCTACTTTATCATGTGAGGTGTAGCAGTAATAGATTACCACATCTACTTTATCATGTGAGGTGTAGCAGTAATAGATTACCACATCTACTTTATCATGTGAGGTGTAGCAGTAATAGATTACCACATCTACTTTATCATGTGAGGTGTAGCAGTAATAGATTACCACATCTACTTTATCATGTGAGGTGTAGCAGTAATAGATTACCACATCTACTTTATCATGTGAGGTGTAGCAGTAATAGATTACCACATCTACTTTATCATGTGAGGTGTAGCAGTAATAGATTACCACATCTACTTTATCATGTGAGGTGTAGCAGTAATAGATTACCACATCTACTTTATCATGTGAGGTGTAGCAGTAATAGATTACCACATCTACTTTATCATGTGAGGTGTAGCAGTAATAGACTACCACATCTACTTTATCATGTGAGGTGTAGCAGTAATAGACTACCACATCTACTTTATCATGTGAGGTGTAGTAGTAATAGACTACCACATCTACTGTATCATGTGAGGTGTAGCAGTAATAGACTACCACATCTACTGTATCATGTAAGGTGTAGCAGTAATAGAATACCGCATCTACTTTATCATGTGAGGTGTAGCAGTAATAGATTACCACATCTACTTTATCATGTGAGGTGTAGCAGTAATAGACTTCCACATCTACTTTATTATGTAAGGTGTAGCAGTAATAGACTTCCACATCTACTTTATTATGTAAGGTGTAGCCACATCTACTTTATCATGTGAGGTGTAGCAGTAATAGACTACCACATCTACTTTACCATGCTGCTTTAGCGACGGTGACTGAATGTTATAAGAGTTCAAGAAGATATTTCCATTAGAAACACATTTGTTTATAGAGATGAATACATCTATATATGCTTATATGTTTACATAGAATGGGAAACAAGCAAAGATTAAAGACCACCTTTACGGACACCATATTGTTCAGGGGCTGACTCCAGGGCTCCCCAACCCTGGCATCCCCTATGTATATATATATATGTTTGAAGCAGTATATGTTTATACATTTTTATGAAAAAAATGGCTGGGGGAATCATGTGAGGTGTAACTTGTTTTTTAATTATATTATATAAATATATATGTATCTACATAGATATGAAAAAAACCCATTTTTAACTCGTGTACTCTTAATACGATACGTATATAGGACGTGTTCAATGTAATATAATTAACATGTATGCTAGTCTGTCGCTTAATTTTTCTTTCTTAAAATCAGGATGTGAAAATAGAACGTTAAATGTGAACGCCGAGGAAAATTAGTTCAGTGATCTCATTGATCTCGTTAAATGTATTTTGGTACCGACACAATCCCATTAAAGATGATGACAGTTCGTTAATTGCTTCAGTATGAAATGCCACGAGGAAGCAACGCAGGTGTCTGTCCAGACTCCTGTCGGCAGATCAAATCGAGCAGGAGCAATATGCGGGAAACCACATGCAGAATGATAGCAAGAAAATTAGGAAATGTCTGAGAATGGCATTGCGAATGAAACATGTCCACGCTTTAAATGTGAAAAGGAGATGAAGGGGGAAGATAGATAAAAAAAAACACCATGTCTCGACGTGTGCTTGTACACGTATATAGCGACTTGCCTGTAACGTTTTCCATAATAGTTTCTGTAATAGTCATACCTATTTCTGCTACCTCTGCTCCGCCCGAATCCGTATGACATCATTGCGTACCTATTTGGGAGAGTGTGATATACATGTACACATGATGAAACATTCGTAATACAAATCCGAACACTGACCGGCTATAGTATACAGATGTGTACTTAATGCATGTACCAACACTCATTTATGTGTAAGGAAATAGTAGAATTAGTGGGGATTAAAAGTTTTATGTCTTTAGTGTTAAATGGTAGTTCGTCTCGTCATTACATATATGGGTATACACTTTCTAAGTTATCTGATGATCATATTCGTTCATCCTAGATAATAATATTGTATTGATTTTTGATACATTTATATGCATATTTGAGGGAATATATATTTAAACTGAAGTAAATTGCAGAAGACTTTGTGATAACAAGTCGTGTTTAGCAACAAATTGTCTAAAAGGTTATAAAACTGAAATGTTAATTTACAGTTATATATTGTATACCTTTTGTCTGCTGAGAGTGCATCGTCGACATTCTCGTCGTCTATTGATGGGTAATCAAACTGATCTGTAAAGAAGGAACATACCATTGCTTTACAATCAATACAAATAATCATTTAAAGATGCACTCATTAACTTAAGTTGGCATTTTTATTGAAAATAGATGCCAACAGGAAATGACAAATTTACGTTTTGCACATATAAACGGAACGAAAGATTGTATTTACTATATTGAGAATTCTATATTCTCATAGAAAAAATATTATATTTATCAAAAGTCGGCATTTATTCTACATCAATCCATAGATACGTGTGTGTGCTTGTTCAGTTAATAAAGCATTGACAAAAACTGGTCGTTGGTAGTTAGTGCTATAATTATGACGTCAGCAACAGGACATGACATGAAACAACTGCATCTTAGAGGGCAGATATTGATCTCTGGTATATTGTTTTTGATGTCATAATCTTATTGCAATCATACGAAATCCATTTTTTCAGTGAACATCTCTCAAATCTTTTTTTTTCTTTTATTACTTTTATATTTGCAATATCAGTGAGGTTTTTCTCATTATTTTCCTACGAACTTCAACAAGACCCTTATTTGGTAAAAAAACTCAATTAGATACAACTTCTGGTAAATGCTTATGGGTTGGATAACCTGTTTAATACACCGTAAAGGGCATGGTTACACGATTCAGATGTAAATAGATTTTCCAGTAAACATGACGTCACAATGTAGGTATGACGTCATACAACATGAAATGGGTTTGTTTAGAGAGTTAACATGAAGGTATTAAATGACCCGGGAATAACATGGTCGGAAGTTTTTTGGAGATGAAAAGTCTTTTACCTATCGGGGCTGCTAACATGATATTACAGCCGTCAACTAACTACGAAATTAGTTATAATGTAATAATACTTTTTGAATTTGGAAATAGACGAAGAGTGGTCTAATATGATTTCTCGGAATTATATATTAGCATTTCCATATTGGATTTCATTACACAAGCTATTTCCGTACATGTCGATCCTGATGAAATCCTCAGCGTTAATTTCAATGTGCTTAACGATTTTTCACCATCACTGAAAACACCAATGCGCAAAATAGATTGAATACTAATTCAAAGTAACCACCGTCAAATATTTTGAATTGATAACCCTTGGGAAGATTGGGTTTTTGAAAGTTTCATCTTTGATAATGTTTTAAAATGATTTCGAGGCCGAGGGAAATAGGTAATGTATTATTGTGTTATGCCTTGTGTTGTTGCATTACCATCAATATACGCCTAATATGTACAGATGGTTCGTATAATTACGTCACACTTTATGTAAGTGAAAATGACACATTTGAGATAAAGCATCAGCCTCCGGTCTCCGTATACATGTCGGTTTGATTGGAAACATAGAAAATAGAGAGCACACGTTCTCGTTGGACGGATGCGTCAGAGAGTGAGAAATATTAATCACTCTGCACTATTTCCATCCTTAGAAACAGTTAACTTGGGAGCATTTAATTAAAACCAGACGTATATTTAGAAGTAAAGCGAGGGTTAGGGGAAGAATGAATTGATGTAAAATGTAGCTGTTTCAACATGTATTAATTAATCTCGTGCAACAAATAAGAAATGTAGAATAACGAGTAGGTGTGTGAATAACACATTAACATCTTAAGCTTTCTTGTCGAGACTTTAATTTTCTTTCTTGAAAAAGAGTATCATGCTAAGAAAAATAACTGCGCTAAAAACAAAATTATCATTAAACTGCACAAAAACAGTCGAATGTTTTTTTCTGATAGGCAGTTTACAGTAGGATAGTTTATGGCGTTTTGATTTGAGTTCTCTTGTATTGTAATGTTACCAGTAGGTGTTTTTGTTTATCACTACCACTAAGTCTTTGTCGCTGGTTTTGTTTTTATCACTACCACTAAGCCTTTGTCGCTGGTTTTGTGTTCACACTACCACTAAGTCTTTGTCGCTAGTTTTGTGTTTATCACTACCACTAAGTCTTTGTCGCTGGTTTTGTGTATATCACTGCTACTAAGTCTTTGTCGCTGGTTTTGTGTTTATCACTACCATTAGGCCTTTGTCGCTGGTTTTGTATTTATCACTACCACTAAGTCTTTGTCGCTGGTTTTGTGTTTATCACTGCTACCAAGTCTTTGTCGCTGGTTTTGTGTTTATCACTACCACTAAGTCTTTGTCGCTGGTTTTGTGTTTATCACTACTACTAAGTCTTATGTTGGTTTTGTGTTTATCACTACCACTAATCCTTTGTCGCTGGTTTTGTGTTTATCACTACCATTAGGCATTTGTCGCTGGTTTTGTGTTTATCACTACCCCTAGGTCTTTGTCGCTGGTTTTGTGTTTATCACTACCACTAAGTCTTTGTCGCTGGTTTAGTGTTTATCACAACCACTAAGTCTTTGTCGCTGGTTTTGTGTTTATCACTCCCACTAAGTCTTATTTTGGTTTTGTGTTTATCACTACCACTAAGTCTTTGTCGCTGGTTTTGTGTTTATCACTACCATTAGGCCTTTGTCGCTGGTTTTGTGTTTATCACTACCACTAAGTCTTACGTTGGTTTTGTGTTTATCACAACCACTAAGTCTTATGTTGGTTTTGTGTTTATCACTACCATTAGGCCTTTGTCGATGGTTTTGTGTTCATTACAACCACTAAGTCTGTGTCGCTGGTAGCAGTTGTTTCTTAATTACTACCACTAGGTGTCGCTGGTAATGACTGTGTTTACTACTATCACTTGGTCTGTGTCGGTTTTACTACCCGTGTTTGAGTACTATCACTAGTTGTCGTTGCTGTTATTTTGTTAATTACTACCACTAGGTCTCTTTCCAATTAACAACAACATAAGTACAGTAAAACTGGTACTGGTATAATTTATTTGATAAACTGGTACTGGAACCATTTGTAAAACTTGTACTGGTGTCATTTGTACAGTAAAACTTGTCCTGGTGTCATTTGTACAGTAAAACTTGTACTGGTGTCATTTGTTCAGTAAAACTTGTACTGGTGACATTTGTACAGTAAAACTTGTACTGGTGTCATTTGTTCAGTAAAACTGGTACTGGTATAATTTATTTGATAAACTGGTACTGGAACCATTTGTAAAACTTGTACTGGTGTCATTTGTACAGTAAATCTTGTACTGGTGTCATTTGTACAGTAAAACTGGTACTGGTGTCATTTGTACAGTAAAACTTGTACTGGTGTCATTGGTTCAGTAAAACTTGTACTGGTGTCATTTGTAGAGTAAAACTTGTACTGGTGTCATTTATACTGTGAAGATTTTGCATATCAAGTTATCTGACGAGATGGATAGAGCTAATGAAAGACTTTTAGAGAGATGACAATTACGGCATAACATTGCGGTTTTAAGTAAAACGTCAGTGTTTCTAACGGTCAGACATGACGATAAACGTTACAATTGTCATCATATGTTGATCATGCTAGCATAAACACTTTTTGTGGGCACATCATTAAAATGTAGTTCGATCCAATCAACCTTTGTTACTTTAATATCATATGAACCAAAACGGGATATTGAATTTCAAATATTCATATTTCTGAATGATTACTGCATCATATAACCCCTACATAATATATTTCCTTATGGCTGTCTCACTTAACATAACACATTATGTTGCATTATGTTATTGCTTTCATGTCTTTAGTGTATACCAGTGTATCTTATGAGAAACAACCTGACGACATTTATGATTGAATCAATGCTTAAATAACTATATGAAATTGCATTCAAATAAAAAATGTATGGTGTCATATTACACCATTACACCATTACGTCACCAAGAGTCTGCTGATGACGGTTCGATAAACAATACATTAAATCTTTGCATTATTGTGTCACCTTCGCTACATACCTGCTAACGACAGCCCAAGACACAAAACAATGACAAATAGCGCAGCAAGGCCCACGTTAACATAAGACACCAAAGCTGCCATCACGGTAGAATTTGTCCTACGTCTGAAACAGAAAAAAATGGCTAGCATTATTTACAATAACTACAAGCTAAACACAGCATCACATAAAACACTTGCATGAGTAATAAAAAAACGATTGTGTAACACGCATTCCCTGGTTATCTTCTTACTTTCGATTACTTGACTTGTTACGCATTTACCAATTTAAATGCAGCAATCAGCATGTTTCTTGTGTGAAAACAAAACACAGCCGAGGGAGTATGACCCATTCCAGAGCTATTTCCTCTCTGCCGTCTTTAATCGATATTTGGTTAACGAATCACAATTTGCGCAAGCGCAGTCTTTTATTATTTTTCGACTTATTCGAAGATATATCAACCTTTGGAGTTATTTTTGTCTTGATATTTATTGCTCTTAACATTTTTGAGCCAAAACCCATACCCAACTTAACTTAAATGAAGTGTGCGCAAATTTCACTGATGTTTCAGAATATACTATCATAGTTCGGCTATAATAATATTACTAAATTATGAAATGTTAAAATTCGAAAGGATCGCAAAATTATATTAAAAAAATGGGCTCACAGCATCCCGCTACTATATATACCAACGTTTCGATAGATATACACCTGTTCTATTTCAGTAACATTTTCTCCATATATGGCATCTTATTTTATATGGTAAATAAGTTACATGTACGATATACACTCTAGTGAAATGCAAAAGCATGTGTTTAAACAAAAAATAATAAACAAGCGAGTTATTAATTACATATCACCTATAATATGCAGAAAATAACATACAACATACCATACCAATGATGTAATTTGTATGGAGCATCAGGGTATTTTCTTCTGATATTCAAATTAGGAAGTGTAAAATACCGATTGATCAATTTTTCGCCTTCTACCAGACCGACAGTATGGACTGTGAAATTGAATTGACCTGAAGGACAAAGAGAGGCTATGGTGAAAGCTAGTGATCCAATACAGGAATGAAGAGCGAGCAGCAAGTGGTTTATTCGTCAAATAGCACGCATCACAGGCAACTCCAATGTCAGAAGAAACGTAGTTAGTATATAACGAATGATATAATGCCTATCGTCAACACACATAATCAAAATACGAACTCACTGCTGATTACGATGACTGCTAAACAAATAGTTCATGGTTAAAACCTCTTAAAAGTTTGATCATCAGCTGTATCCCATTTGTGCATTTTTTCAAGTTTCTAAAAATAGTATCAATGAATGAACAATGTATTCAGGACCCGGATTCGTTGATAGTTCTTTTTTTACTGTGACTTTAAAGGAATATTATAAATTGATGATTGAACTTCTACTGCTATTTCTTGATGTCAGAACAAGAAACGGCACAAAAATAAAGGAGACACATATCATAAACCAGTACAATAAGCCTAAGGTGAGTTCGTGTGTTTCCTGGACCTCATGTGACACGAACGTTTGTGGCAATATTTAACTACATGTATTTATGTATGTCTAATAAATATACTACCGTCTCACACCTCACAAAACACTTAAATAAAAGTCGTCAATATTGCAGGTGTCGGAATGTTCTTAGGTTATTATACTTGAAACAGAAATTGGTCGTAGACAGGTATAAACGTTATTTGCGTTTTAGACTTATGAGCTATTATTGCATTGCCTCCATCGCTTGTGGAGGCAAAACAATAACAACAATTTGCATGATTAAAAATGCTTCTGAAGTTGTAGAAAAGGGAATCGGTTTTTCTCTTTTCAATTTAAATTAGTTTTTAATTTCCAAACACTGCTTCTTACACGGGAGGCCTCTTTCCGTACATTCACTTCTCTCTTTCATTTCTCTCTCTTAAGATTTCTTAACAATTTCAATAATGTGTTGGTTTGGTAACACCATAAGTAAAAATTGAAAAAATATTAAATGATGATAGGGCAAAGTTTCGGCACAAACATATGGGCAAGAAAAGGTAAATTAACGAAATTGACTAGTTTCTTATCTGGTTTAATAATAAAACAAAATCTTGAATTTGAACTACCACATCTCAATACCGAACATTTGAAGCATGCTTTTGATTAATTGCTTTATAGTATATTTGACTAAGACGACAAATTAAGAACATTCAACTGACTTTAACATACGTTGACATAAAACTTCATTTTATGTTAGAAATCAACTTATGTGCAAACTCCCAAAATAACGTTAAGCAACTACAATTCAGGAAGAAATATAAAACATCCTCCCCTTAAAACCAAAACTAGACAATTATTTCATTATTTTTGAATAGTCATTATCTCTCTTTTTTGCCTGGCTTAGTTTCAAGTGACTTCCGAAACTCTGCCCTATCATCATTTATTACCATGAAATATTTCATAATTGTTTCCCTCTGTTTAGATAAGTGCCTCCAAGATCTGATCGTATGAGTCATTGTCATTTTATCACAAATGTGGATTACAAACAATGCATGTCACCATACGAAACAATACAGTATTCTATTTCATTCTATTTACACGGTTTAAATCATCTACATCAAATGACGTAAACATTATACATCGCAGGTTGTAATGGCTCAACCACTGTTTTCAAATAGAGACTAAAGTTGATGTGCTTTCAAGTGTGATAGTCGTATTACATGTTAAAACTATTTACACACTGAATATAAGATTGATAGAGTGTGCGGTAGAGCGTGCTTCATCTCATTCATTATGGAGTGTGCACCCACTCCCAGTTCTAGTCTTCGGATTCTCGAGCTAGATTTAATTAAGATTAAGTCCTTGATAATCAGTGGCTGTAAGTTATCTACATGTTTGGCAAAAGAGACTCGTTCAAGAATAGACTGAATTTGATCATCTGTGAGTGTGAAGTCGGCGACTTGTGTAGAACATGTCTTTCTTATTAGTGTCACGTGATGCATGGAACTATCACCAGTAACACAACGCCATATTGTCGATTTCATTGTTGCACTTCTCTTCTAATATATGAGTACATGCTGAAATAAAATACGAACATTGATTAATTTCGTCGTTTATTTTTCACTCTAAAGTCATTCACCAACTGTTGTTGCAACTATTATTTTAATAAACCGAGTATTGTAGTAATACACGTACATCTAACATTGACAGCCAAGTGTCAGACACGGTGACTCCGGTTGTTCTCACCAAGCTCTGCATATAACTGAAGCGAACTGAGAATGTGAAAAGCACGATTTTATTGGAACAGCTTCATTGCATATGGATAATGTGTAATGCAGCTATTTATAATTACAAAGCATTGCTTACCAAAATAAAGGCAAACTTTAACATGATTATCAAAATTCTAAATCCGGAAGTGATATATTTATTGCCTGGGTATGATTGCGTACGGAGTGAAAATATAAAAAATATTCCAAACCATCGTCGTATATTTCAAACAGAAGGTTTCCTTAACAACTTAAATTAATATCATGTTCACGGTAAAAGCATTTACATAGGTAGTTATAAATTAAAAATGCATATTAAAAACTCCAGCAATGGATTGTATGACTTATATGTAATAATAACAACTGAAATGTTCCGCTAATTCAATATTTGCGAACATGTCTCTGTTTTTACGAATAGACTTTCCTGAAACCTAAGATGTTTAGCGTTGCTATTTGCAACAATGTCTGAACATAGATTAGTATAAACCGTATTTTAATTCGTAAACTTGCAGTTACAATACACAGACCATTTAATTATTACATACATGAAATAGGATCCAGAAATAAGTTATTATACTTATATCAATCTGTTTCCTTAGCAGAAATAATAATGGATAACAGAGACTTAAAAGAAGTAGAAGAAAGAGGAGAAGTATTAGGAAGAGGATAAGGAAAAGCATTTGCCAATGTACAAAACGTTAACCTATGTAAATGTCACTGATGTCATAACGGATTTATAACAGTGGAAAATATATGCTGTGTACAATTACAAAGATGCTGATAATAATTACCAATAGCATATGGCACAACTGATATGGGGAAAAACCCACGCGCGCACAACCACACATCCTCACACACACCCTTACACACGAACACACAAAACCGAGGTTTATATGAGTGAAAAATTGGGTGTAGTAATTAAATAGGTAAAAAACGTTTCGAGTGAAAAATAAAAGTTTGTACACAGTTAAATATATTCCGATTTTGGGCAGGTGAAAGAGTGTTGTCACCAAACAGGAGGGTTTCTACTGAGGTATGATTTTGTATTGGCCTGAAACATATTTGTCTTATGTGTTCATAGTTCCGACAAGATAATAGATAATGATCGTTTGTTTCGTTAGACTCACGGCAGGAACAGTGTGGGCTCCCTACTTAACTTTTATGAAAAAATTGGCCATTTAGTGAACTACATTTCATTCTGAACCTGGCATGGTATATTTGGCCTATTCTAGTACCGCAGAAGTAATATGATTCTTTTTGTAGTAAGTTTACGTTAAGATGTAGCTTTATTTGTGTATGGATGCGTCATTCCGTATGTCTTCAGGGAGTTCATTCCATAGATTGACAGAAGCAGATAGAAAAGATTTTTGATATTAGTTTGTTCTACAACGTACAGATCTAAATCTATTTGCGTCTCTAGTGTTATGCTGGTAGATGTGCGAATGTCGTCCTGGGAGAATGTTTCTAAGATATTGCGCGGTAATGTTGTGAACTATTTTGTGAAATTTTATGATTTTGTGGTGTTTCCGACTACAAGAAAGTGTTTGCCATCCTGTTTCTTTGTAAAGGTTTGCATGACTAGTGAGCTTGGTGCCTCCTGTAATGATGCGTGCAGCTTCAAGTTGTATATTTTCTATCTTTTGTGATTGTAGGTTGGTCAAATTGTCCCAAATGATATCTCCATACTCTAATATCGGTCTTATAAGGTAAAATACATATGTTGTAGTGTTTGGCGATCGACAGTATACTTTAGTTTTCTGAGTAAATTCAATTTAGCAGAAGACTTTTTAACAATATATTCAATATGGCGTTGCCACCCACCATTACATGAGAAAAATACACCCAAGAGTTGTTCATTCACGTCGTGTAATAGATTATCATTCATTTTCAAAGCAGGATGGACTGGTTTGTTTGCTGTTATTTTTACTAACAATCAAAGTGTCTTTTTTTAAAAGGTTAAAATTAACGAGCGATTTTTTTTTTATTAACTTTAGGACATATTTATGATGAAAATCTACCATTGAACACACACTTATTACGTCATTGTGTTCATTTCATTTCATCAAAGTTTATTGACAAGGTTGCATAGTCAAATGGATAGAATAACAGGCAAAGTCTATATAAGTTCTCTCCGTCAAATGGCCAAGGTGGAATAAACAATGAGACATACTATTTTAGACATGTTAGAAATGAAAAATTTAACACAAAATAATTCATATTAACGCTAAGGGGAAGTAACTCATGAAGGAAACATCTCGCACACCTCATACACACTTACACACACATACAAGTACATGTACAAATACATTAATTTCAGCATATATACCCTATCATAGACGGATATTGCCAGACTTAGACCAAAAGTCCATGTGCATATATCGCACAGGTCACTGCTACCAACAGCTGTTACAATTAAGAATAATAAATTCATGTAGTACATATAGAGTGTAATTATTTACAATGTCAAGATAAGTACATGTAATAGTCAGTTGTCATGCTCAACTAGAATCTCCTGTAATTAATTTAGAATCAGTATGTTTTTGTTTTAACATGTACATCCTGGCTTTAAGTCATATACAAATTAAAACGACGGGATTTTCCAATAAAAAATGCATCAAGTATTCATCTATTTGTAGGCCCATCACAACCAGGACAGCCCTGGAGAAGAAAGTGTATATCAATGTGATTGTGGTTGCCATAACTATTGAAAGAAGTGAACAGAGAAGTTCTTTGATTTAAAAAAAAAAGGACATTCCACAAAGTCATTGTGTTCTAGACAATCTTAGATCTGTAGTTGAAACCCTCAACAACAGCCATTCCCGTTATATGTATCAAAAACTATAAACGCCCAAGCTTTTAACATGTTGTTTGGAAGACATCAGTGGCGATATAATAGCCGCATCGATCACCGGTTATTCCTTGGAGCTAATTTGTTTTTGTGCATCTTCCACCCACAACTTTTCAATAATTTATCATTACAGTTTGTATTAATGCCGACAAAAATAACCCTAGCAGGCATAGTTCGTACCATGCATGTCACCTTAGAACAGAACGGCGTATACACATCAGCTATTGCAGGTTCCAAGGTGGGAAAGTGCTCGCTCATCTGACACTACCATTATTCCAACACAAGACCCACAGCTGTCGTGACGAACGTTAATGGCGACAGTTCCTGATTAGGCGGAATGTTTCCTTTCTTTTATTCTTTTATGGCATATGTTCAGGAGCGTTTTGATAAATGTTTCTTTAAGCATATCGTTTCCAGTAAAAAGGGTTTTGTCAGAGTCTAAGTAGTTTAAAATCTTCGAAATCTTTTGTCCAAAGTTACACTAAATAGAACTAAATCTTTAGTTACATCACAAAGAAGAATCAGGTAATAAACTACATCATGTATAACATTTAAATTTGAAGGTATACGGAATACGACATTGAGTCATAAGACATATCTTAAAGAATAATAGTATCAAATTTTAACGTACATGCTAACTGAGTTTTTAGTTACTTTATATTATTTTAAGTCGTAAAATACACCCTCAAGTAGAATTTTCAATTCCAATTATGTCTCTGTTAATTTGAATATGTGTAAATGGATCTAAAGTCTAATTTGTGGTAATATAATATTGTTGACGATAAGAAAACGCGATTTGGTAGGGACTTCAAGCGTAAGCTAAACAAGTGTTATCAGGGTTAAATTGTTAATTAAATTAAGTTAATATACCAGTTCATGATATCATTAGCTAATATACCAGTTCATGATATTATTAGCTAATATACCAGTTCATGATATTATTAGCTAATATACCAGTTCATGATATTATCCAACTGATATATAGAACATGGTAGTTGCCTTTTAATTTACTTGCCTTTTAAAATTATCCAACTGATATATAACACATGGTACTTACCTTTTAAATTTTACCAACTGATAATATGGTTTATGGTTCTTGCCTTTTAAAAGTATCCAACTGATATATAACACACGTTACTTGCCTTTTCCAAAACCGATTCTTTTCTTAATGATCACAATGTTATCGTTGAAGGTAAGCAGACATTGGAATCATTTTTCCTATTTAGACGTTCGGCCCCATTCCTTTGTAGTATAAGTGGTGTAGGTAAGATAGGTTTGAAGATGTAGATTATTCCAGCTTTCCAGTCCCAATGACTACTTTCGCTGAGAAAGCAAATATAATACATATTGTTAAGACGATGACGTCATAGAAGACGTGGGTGTGTCACTGGGGTTTACTTTAAAGTTATTATTTTACAGAAGACATTGATTGGTGGCCATGAAACATGTTACCGGCCCACAAACGCCCAACATTTTTACGTCATACATATTATTGAATCAGGAAAGTAATAATATTCTATGTTAATATTGAAAAGTCATCACAGATGGGGAATGTCTGTTCGTGACTAGTCTTATGACATGCTATTGATACTTTTGGTTTCAGAATTACTTTTCGTACTTTCGACTACCAATCTGATATTTTCTCTCTAACAGTATACCACATTTATTTACCTTTGGGTGTATATGTAAAAACATACGCGTAGATTGCAAAAACGTTTCCCACACATTTGGAAATTTGAAATATGTACTAATGACGTCATGACATTGTGACATTGAGTAATTATGTAGGTATTCTTAAAACAATCGAATGTTAATTAGTTTTGATACAGCTCAGATATCTAGTATACAAGTGTAGGTTTAGGTACGAAACCCGCATGTGCGATATGAAGACAAAGAAAATATAGGAAATTGTATATTTGTTTTTTTACAATTTTATCTTTTTAACCACACCCGCATAAAGAGCCCACAAAAAGCATTGTCGTTTTGTTAAGCTTCGTGTTTTTTTTTTTGCAATCTCTTATCCGTATTGCATCAATATCAAACACTCTCTCATGAGATTAGTTTAATCCTGACAGGCGTAAAAGCGTTATACGTTTATAAACACATCTATATCATTATTTGATACACTTTCACGTTCACAAATTGCAAGGCGTTGAAGTAACATATTGCGCATATACACCGGGGTATTTTATGTGATAGACTGATAAAGTCACAACAGTTTCTTCCCAGGAGAGTATTCTACAACATTTGAAACGCTCAATTTATATAATTGACTTTGTTGTAAGATTTTCCTTAAACGACACAATTCTCGACCAACGTTCTCCGCATCCCGTTTGAGCATACGGTATCACAAAAACCCACGGGGCTGATGTCACGATCGTACATCATCTTTAGCGAACTCTGGCATTTCTTACACTATCAAATAACACCAATATGACGGATGTTCTAGAGCGATGCAACGCTAACGCAATTAAGGCAGCTCCTCGGATATTTAAGAGACCATATCCAGTGTAACCATGTGTAATGTAAACAGTTCATGTTGCACATACCTGTAAATAATGACATGGCATGTTTGATGTATGATCCCCGATCGACAGACATCAGTTCTTATAATATTATAACTGTAAAACTGTAGTTACATGTAAGAGATAGTGTTATACATCTATGTAAATGTTGATATAATACACTATTGTTGATTAAATTGTCACTCTGTTTTAATAGAACTTGATATTTTTTCGGAGTATTAATCATTGTTAAAGCTCTTATTTGTTTGCATTTGATGTATATACATTTTACATGAATTGATACTCGTTTAAAATGATATATTTGTCATTTGTTTTTATTCATGTAAATAGGGCGAATGGTTGAGTCTTTGATATTCTTCGATTGTCCGTGGTCGATATTTCAATTAACAATCATTCTATAATATTCAAAATAGTGAGACAATTAGTTACTTATTAGTTCAATTCGTTAGATATTTTTATGCGGTTTAATAAGAATAAATATAGAATTCTAATGATACCATTGCTTTTATCGAAAACAACTTTCAGGATTTACTGCAGTAAAGGTAAAGATCAAACCAGAATCAGTATACTATAACAGCAGAATCATAGGGGTTACACCACGTGACAACCGACAGAGGAGTTACACCACGCGAAAACCAACAGAGGAGTTACACCACGTGATAACAAACAGAGGAGTTACACCACGTGGCAACCAACGCAGGAGTTACACCACGTGAAAACCAACACAGTAGTTCCGTTACACCACGTGACAACCAACAGAAGGGTAACACCACGTGATATCAACAGAGGAGTTACACCACGTGACAACCAACACAGTAATTACGTTACACCACATGATAATCAACAGAGGAGTTACACCTCGCGACAACCAACATATGAGGTGCACCACGTCACAACCAACATATGAGTTATACCACGTGATAACTTACAGATGAGTTACACCACGTTATAACCAACAGAAGTTATTACACCACGTGACAAGCAACATAGGAGTTACGCCACGTGAAAATCAACAGAGAGGTTACACCACGTGACAACCAACAGAGGAGTTGCTCCACGTGACAACCAACAGAGGGGTAACACCACGTGACAACCAACAGAGGGGTTACACCACGTGACAACAATGTGCCAGAATGACGATGAAATTGAGGAAAGCGAAGGACGTTTGTTTAACAATGATAATGGTGTGTTACACAGTTCCCTTCCAACGTATTCGGACTGAAACACAACTTAGAGGATACATTTGAACTGAACTCTAAGCGGAGTAAAATCCTTATATTTGGGTTCAAAAGGACACATACAATTGGGTTGGATCTTTGTTTGTTTGCTTAATTTAGTTCATGACACATTTCAAAGAAAGGGTTTTGCGAGAGAAAGCACAGTGTTTTTTTCGGGAACACTGTCGTGTTTTCAATGATTTCTTGTGCCGTTAGACGACAAATGTCAGGAAAAATATTCAGAAATGTCCGTCATACATTGAATATGATGTTGTGTTATGATTATTAAAAAAAAACAAGGAACATACAACCTTTCGAAATACTAAAATGAACCTTTTAGTAAACGACTCGTGAAGCTTACCAATTTATGAACTATCTTGCTTTGATCCTATAGACTTATTTCTTTCACAGAAACTATCTGATTATGTTACCACTATTTTACGCATAATTATAATCTCCTGAAGGTATACTTGAATGTGGCATTAAAGCATCGCATAACAAGAGAATGAAGGTCCAAGGCGCCAATGAAATTAACGTATACAATCGATAACTTCGCCCTTTGTTGGATTTCGAAACACGTGAGGATTAACTAGACTTTCAATGATAAAATCATTAAATACAGGAGGAGTTTTGGTTATTTTTACACGATTGAGTGCTATACATATACCTCCCCCACATATCGGTTGATTTGTAGAAACATGCAGGCATCTCGTCGCTCCCCGCATACAATATCATTGAATCGTAGACTATAATCACATTTTTTATGAGAAGTGTTCATGTTTGTATCATACCATTGCAATGACAATTGTCTAAATCCAGTGACTATTACTACTTTGTACTTTTAGAACATGGGGAGTTAAACGGTGCGTGGAAGCTTTGGAAGTGAGATGTCGAAAGGCGATAGTGGCGAGGGTACATAATTGACACCGGTCCAGATAACGTATCGGCTTAGGTCTGATACACAGGGGAGTCCGAAAGCGTTGACCTCACAGAGACAAAAGTTGGAATTCAATTTGAGAAGAAGACTGCTGTAAGTGTAAATAGGTTTGACCTGTTGGCCAGTACCCCGATCTTAACAACACCGACAGCAGCAGCAACAAGGCCGCGTATGGAATGCAGGAACGTGACACGAGAGTATTGATCGTTTCTTTGGGCATTGCTTCATCACTGGCGAAAGGCCAGCACATTACACGTTTAAAATGGTGTCTTTGAAAGAAATTCTAGATTATTTTTGGTAAATTAATCACAACACTGTCCTTGAAAATGTCCAAACGAATTACTTTTTTGTCTGCCGAACAAAAGGGTCTAATGAACACGCCACGTTCATTTCTGGCTACGTGTAAACTATCACTCTTTGCATCATTAAACGAAGATTGAAACGGAAAACATCCACCGGAAACAACCGCTGATTTCCAGTTTGTAAATTTTAAGTATTTGAAGTGATGCTCATGATATACAACAGGGTGTGTAAGGCCACAAGTTTGGTGTTTATATGATATATCAGGGTCATTGTCGTAGTGTATTGACTTTATGTAATACTATATATACTAGTATATATACATGTAGGTTACCCACTTAATAAGGTTTCTAACGAGGTTTTACTACTAAATACGACATAACGAGGTTTTACTGTCGTGATTACAAGTTAGACTGTTTCTACTCCAATCAGGATTTTCAATGAGTCACCTTTCTGTGAGAAACGATTTTTCTCTAAACTGGGGTAAGCACTGCCACTACTTTCTAACATTTTCATTAAGACCTCCATAGCTACTATTTATACATGTACTTCGAGTGTGCGTACTGGTACCGTGTTGTAGGTGAACAAGTACATACGACCGTATTCCATGTCCCGACAAATCTCTGAAACTCATCGACCTTAACGCGTCAAATACTACTGATTAAATGTGGAAACATCTAAATGCAATTAGAGTAAAACCGGTCACACAGCAGAATTTGTTTATTCTCTGTGTACATGCACACTGATCAATAAATGTCACATCGTTAATGCAATGCATTCATTATCATATCTCCTGCATCTTTCATTGTGTAAATCTGCAATTCAATAGGTTTTCCGAAAACTCAGTTAAAATCGCAATGAAAAATTGAAATGCATTCTAAAAAATGGATTCCGCATTATATACGCTATCAGCTGATCGTACTGACGCAGATTTAGGGCTTTTAGACAAAGGATAATGTTAATCAGCATGTAAGTGACCTAATACTACCGGGTGTTCGTCATTGTTACTCTTGGTCATTTTATACGATTACAAAAATACAATATCACATCCCGCGGAGAAGAGTTTTCTATATGTACTGTAAATAACATAATATTCGCGAAATCCTTTTTTAGCCGATGCGATCTTAATTATTAAGATTTAAATTAAACACTGACTATCATAAGTAGCTATATTTCATTTTTACATTCTCCAGTGTGATATTGGGAACCTCTTGCCTAATGTCACAAGTGATAATAGGAGGTTGTTTGTGAGGTCACAAGACACATGTGATTTTTATGACCATAGCTATTAATAGGACGTAAAACACAAACAAACCAAAGTGATTGTGATGTCCAATAAAATGT